ACTCGTAGGTGAAAATGCATATGCATGAAAAACAACAAAACAAAAATAAACAATATACATATGATGCATGCAACAACTATATGTCAATTAAGAACCAAGCACGCATAAAAAATACCTAATCAAGTAGGTATATAAGTTATCTTTCCTTTAAGAGCACCACGATCTCTAACCAAATTTGGGAGATTGTTTTTCTTTACCCAAACCTGTCTAGAGCGAGGATTATTTCCAGACAAATGTGTCACCAATTGAGTAAAACGATTCACTTGATCGGTAAGGAATCCAATCTGACCAACAGACACCTAATTTTTGTTCTTTTTTGAGCTCAAGTCTTTCTTATTGTTCAGGTAGTGATGACATTTAGGGCGGATGTGACCTAACTCTCTACAGTGAAAACATGTAGGATAAACCTAGGACCTGCGATATGCTTACGCTGATTTCTATTCCTAGGCCGACGGGTCCTATGACGTTTGGTAGACCTACGTCCTGAAGTTTCCACAACATTTGGTATGGGATTAGTCACAATGTTTGGCTGGTCAGTAACATGAACAAAGGTGGTCTGTGATGTACTAGCAACATTCAGATCAAAACCTAGACCTCCTTTATTACCAGTAGGCTTGCCTATTCCTAGAATATTATCTAGCCTTTCAAAATTGCTAGAAAAGGCAAGTAACTGAGACCTAGACAACTCCTGCTCACTCTCAAGGTGTTTAACCTGAATAGCTAAGGTCTCATTCACAATGATTAGCTCACTTACTCTTAAGAGGACAACTCATTCTTACTGGTGAGATCACTAACACGGGCCTCTAACTGTTCCTTCTCTAGCTTAAGCTCTTTCACTTTCTTGCTCATTGCCTGGTTAGTGGCTAAGATCTTGAGGCTTTCCTCATACATCCTATCATAGGCTGTTTCTAGATCATCCACACTTCCACTCTCATCACCAGAATCTTCACTACTATCTAAGTCCTCAGTCCTTTCACTCCCTTGATCGGATCCACTTTTACCCCTAGCAACGAAGGTCACATATTTTCCACTCTCCTCACGGGTAAATTTCTCACTCTGATTTTCTGAGCTAGACTCGTCATCAGTGAGAGTAGTATTCATAGCTTTCTCTTCAAATCTTTTAGCACTAGGGCACTCATTCCTCAAATGATCGAAATCGAGATAGTTATGGGATCTCACGGATTTAGATTTCGTCCTAGATTCACTCGGGCCACCTCTTTGTCTCTCTTAAGGCTTCTTCTTATTCCTAAACATTTTTTGGAATTTTTTAGTTAGGTAGGCCATCTCCTTATCATTGGGTGAATCAGAATCAGAAGATTCCATCCGAATATTCCTAGCGATTTTTAAGGCTATGGATTTTTCCTTATTTGGATTGTCTAAGGTCAATTCATAGGTCTAGAGGGATCCAACTAACTCATCTACCTTGATAGTGTCTATGTCCTTATTCTCCTCAATTGCCGTAACTTTAGGCCTAAAACGCTCAGGTAAGGATCTAAGAATCTTTTTCATTATCTTAGGCTCAGGGATTTTCTCACCTAGGTTGAAGGACGAATTTACTATGTCATTTAAGCTTGCAGAAAAGACATCAAACATCTCATCGTCTCTTATTCTTATCTCTTCAAACCTAGTGGCCAACATCTGCAGCTTAGAACTTTTAACTGCCTGAATTCCCTCATGTGTAGTTTCTAAAATACCTCAAACTTCCTTTGCTACCTCACACATGGACACTCTCTTAAACTCCTTGAGGAAAACTGCCATAAATAGGGCATGGAGGGCTTTGCTATTTAAATTACAGCTATCCAATTGAGCTCTAGACCAGCTCTCGACAGGGGTGGGAGTGACTACACCATCTATTGTGATACTAGTGGCTAACTAACCATTTATCACAATCTGTCAAACACGCTCATCTAAGGATTTAAAAAACGCCCTCATTCTCACTTTCCAATACGCATAATTGTTCCCATCAAAGTGGGGTGACACATTCATCGACATACTCATCTAGGCTAATGTAAGGTCAGGATTCGCACTTAGGCTCTGATACCACTTGAAAGTTTAGGGAACGTTCTACAACCACTTGAAAATTGACGGGAATGCTTTACTATGTCAAATTCAAATTTTAGCATTACCAAGTTTACATTCCAATTTACCGTTTGACCTTACGCACGGAATTAATACAATTAATTGTAACAAGTCACAAATTAATTGTTGTCGATGCGATTAAATATACACGTCCAATTAAGCCTATGTTGAATTGTCGATTTGCGTAAATTAAATAAAATAGTAACAACACCAACTCACAATATGATGATGGAGAAACCCCAACGTGGGTAAAACTTCGAGACCAAGCCAGTAGTTTCCACTATACCAATCCAGCCAATACAAGTTATGCCAAACTCCGTACCAAGTCAGAACCGCTATTCCAGTCCCACGATCTACTGTCGTAGATACTGCTAGTCTCCTGCTATCTTCCCGATCTACCTCCTACAGCTCAATCTGCTGTCCAATACAGCTTCCTGGTCTCTAGCTGATTGTATCACCAAGTGAAATTCCAAGAACCTCCTGTTCTTGTCCAGTTCCTACGCTTGTCGTCCACCTCTCTCAATCTTCCAATGAGAGAGTCCGTTCCTCAAAGGATTAAGGAACCATGGTGTTTTGTCTTCACTAACTTTGATGGTTTCCCCACACAACAGATTGTCGGATTACAAGAACGAAGAAGATGAATTAATCTCTTGAAGCACTCCTTGAATCTCTTGAAAGAATATGGGAGGATGTTTCTCAATGTAAGAGCAATATGGCAATCTCTAATTTTCTTAAAAACTGCAGCAAATAATGTTGTGTGTATATATAAAAATTCAGCAGCTAGTAACTTCTTAATTCCAGAATTCTTGTCCACAAAATCCTTCAAAAACTACTGCCAACAATGTTGTGAATATATACAATAAAGATAGCCATCAATTGTTGACTTTTCAAATGAACCCCAAGTGGTTGTATATTGATTAAGTATATTACCAGCAAACTGCCACAACTTTGGACTCCCAACAGCACGTGTATTTGTCCAATTCAACCCCAAATTTGCTTCAGCTTTTCGTGAATAAATATACCCAATTCGGTGGCTACAAATTCTTCAAATCTGCTTTGTCTCTCATGCATGTGATAAAGATAATTTAATTAGCAGCCTCCATTATTTTATTCCTCAAGCAGCAGCCCCCTTTTTTTTAATTCCCCCAGCAGCCACGCCTTTTGCCATTTTCTGTTGTGTATATATATAATTTTTGGCTGACTCCTTTTCCATACACAAACAAACCCTAACAACTATACAATATTGCACATCAAGCCTTAACTTTTAAACATGTTCAATTAAGTCCCTTTTTGTTCATAGAATGCCAATTACAATTTTAGACCTAACAATCTCCCCCTTTGGTGTTCTATGACAAAACTATACAAATTCAAGTCAAGGAATTACAATCAATCAAAACAACCTAAACTTCCCAGCATTCGAATCACCGAGTCTTGCATTTCTTGTTGTACATGTTTCCTGAAATCCAAAAACTCACATACCCAGTGTAAAAGCATGTGATACAGGAAATATAGAAATTAAAGCACTTAATCACTAATTAACATGCTAGTTTAAGACGTAACATAAATGTCAATCAAAACGCCAACCGAAACATTAACATCACTAAACATCAAAACTCAAACAGCTATGAATGTGATATGGAATGTAATGTAACACTCCCCCTTACTGCAAACTTTCATATTTTTATGCAGTAGGTAAATGTATCTATGTCTCTCTCCAACGACCCCTAGACATAGCAATGTAATGCAAGTAATGTCAATCAACAAAATGTGCATGCATATGCAATAGTTCTCTTATGTGCATGCTCTCATTTTCCATTTTCTCCCCCTCAGTATATACATTTTCTCTCCCCCTTTTTGTTACAAATGTCGAAGGGAATCACATTAAGACCAAGTCGAGCAATAACACATAACTAT